CAAACAGCATCTGCAACAAGAATCGGTGCAAACTGGTCATTACTGAGAGGCTCCTCTTACCTGTGGAGCTGAGCAAAGAGGCTCCGTGCTGTGACTCACGAGACCCAAATTTAATTATCTTTGTTTTTTTACTGCACACTTCCTCATGTGACAGAGTTTACGGCACTTGATTTTTTTTTTCCTCCCACATCCTGTTTCTGCTTGTTTCTAGATGAAGGAACCGTGCTGGCTTTTCATGTCTTAAAACATTCAGTTTCCAGAAGCAGAAGGGATAGATGAGTAAGCACATAAAAGAAATGCAGATAACAGTACTAAGATCCAGGATATTTCATTACTCCACACGCTGCTGTTCTCTACCAAACCACAGGCAAGTTTCACAACACAGCAGACACCCTCCTGCTCATCTACAGCTATACCACCAATGTGATGGCATGCTGCCAGGCACTACGAGAAATCAAGCCCCAAACGCTCTCAGTTCAGAAGTATATAGGCCTCCATCACACTTTTTAAGCTGATACAAATTGCCACCAAGATGCCAAGCTCAGTTCCAACTATCATAAAAGCTGGTTTCAAAGTAATGTGGCATTTGGTCTTAGAAGATGTAGTCTGAAGCTTCTCACAGCACATAATTCAGCATTTAGCAATATGAATGGGATTTAATTGAGATATTCTAACCATCTAACTAGTGATAACTGGTACACTTACGGAACTGTCAGCACCTCACATGGAACACAGGAGCCTTCACTTAAGTAATTTTGTTGACAGTGATGCCAGCCCTTAACTGGCAACCGCTGGTACTCCAGCGATTAGGCTGACAAATTCCTCTGGATTTTACTAATCGTTAATGTTTACACATGCCAAAAGTGGAATTTGTACTGTAAAGGTAGGCTCAGCTAACAATTTCAGGTCACGAAAATAACTGCTGAATAAAACACTCTACTAAGCAATCATAATTTAATTGAGGCCAGTATTTCTAATTCACTTTTCAGAAATTTGAAATTATGAAATGATTAATACTGTAACAAAGTTATTCTGCATTTCATAATATATTACTGAAGATATGCATGGTTATTTAAGTAATAATAACCATGTAATAATAACCAATCCTGAATTCTGTTAAACATATCATTAAAATACCAAAAATAAAACAGGAAAAAAGCTAGAGTTCAGTTGGAGCTCCTAGTCACACTTCAACACGCACCATGGAACCTTTTCTTGCATGTTTGTTCATGATTCCCTACCAAATACCACCCTCTCCTAGAGCTTCTTGTGCCTCTTGCAGACCAAGCAAGCCCACGTTTTCTACACGCCCTGTTTATGTCTTTGCTCAGGCAGTGCCATGCTGTAGAATGACTGGACCTCTTTTAATAAACCAAAGGCTGGCTACAGAATCCAAACCCAAGAATGTGGTGTTAATGCCATTCTAAGTGTCCCCTCAAGCACTGCAGGCACTAGGGAAGGTGCTGGAGCTAGTGTGTACTCCCTCAGAGCCTGCCAGCTCTGGTACTCACCACCAGCCCCGACCCATCCAAGGACACACAGTGCCCACAAGGGAACTGGAAAGCTCTTCCTAGGGGCGCTCTGGAGAACCCACTCCTCTGCAGCTCATCACCTGCTTCCAGAAAACATCTGAGTTCCTGGCAAAACACAGCCAGGAATATGGAGAGAACTGAAATACCAGCATTCAAACTCTCCTCCCCACCACTCTGTCACCACAGGGTTCACTCTGCACAAAGGTGCCTCCAACAAGATCTTTCTGCAAAGTTCCCAGAAGCTGTTTCCTGCTTCTGTCAAGAAAAGTCACCCAAAGGCTAATTCAGCCTACGCAGCCTCTGAAGCTCACTCAGGGACAGCAGCCCTGCACTTCAGCGAAACATTTGTGTAACTTCGCACAACCAACACTGGACAGCTGGAGGGAAAATCCGCTCTGTTTACGTGTGGACTGTAGGCCAGTGATCATAGAATCAGCCAGATTGGAAAAGACCTTTAAGATCATCAAGTCCAACCATTACCCCAGCACTGCCAAGCACACCACTAAACCATGTCACTGAGGGCCTCATCTACACAGGTTTTTGAATGCTTCCAGGAACAGATTCTACCAGCTCCCTGCACAGCCCGTTCAATACCTGATCACTCTCCTGGTGAAGGAATTATTTTTAATACCCAGTCTAAACCTCAAATGGTGCAGCTTGAGGCCGTTACCTCTTGTCCTATCACTTGTTACTTGGGAGAAGAGAATGACATCCTCCTCTCTCCATCCTCCTTTCAGGTAGTTGTAGAGAAAAATAATGTTCCCCTGAGCCTTCTCTTCTCCAGACTAAACAATCCCTTCACCCCACAACATTAAAAATAACAGGAGAAGCTCTAGTTTATTTATAGCTTAACATGAAGAAAACTGTGTTCCTCATAACATCTTCTGCCTGGCAAGAATTTTACACGGATAAGAGTCCTGCAAACCAAGTGAGGTAAGAAACAGGAACATCAACGTACCAAAAGCTGTAACAACCAGTTGGCTCCCCTCAACGCACCCTCAAGCCCAGCGCAAAGCCCTCAGCAACCTGGAGCCAACAGCCTGGCTCTACCTTGTTTCCATGTGGATACAAGATACAGTACACAGCCAAAGCTACATTCAACTTGAGGTCATTCCAGCACCAACCCCTCCCTCCCCCACCCCCCACCCCCCCAGTTAAACAGGAAAAAGAGAGGGGAAAGCTGCTTGCAGGACTGAGGCCAAACAGGCAACTGTCTGGCATCTTTATTGGCAGTTCTGCAGTCCTGACACAGATGGAAGAGCCAGAATTTGCTCTCCCCTTCCAAACCTGAGGCACACAAAGAAAGGAAAATGTTCATCTGGATTACATGCACAGTGCTCTTTTCATCACAGGAAGCTACAAATGTTTAAGACTTCCTCTTCCGGGAGCACAGTTAGTTTATGCTTTTTAAAATTTAGGTAGAAAAAAACAAGTTGCATGGACTTTTTCTCAAAAGGCTACTTAGGTCTTTGCTGCTTCCTCATCTTCCAGAGCATCTACATGGTTATATTGTTTCCAGGCCTTTAAATTACACTTTTTGAGAACAGCTCCTAGTTGCTTCCCAGGCCCCACTTCATACGTGTAAGGGAATTCTGTTCCTTGCTGTCTTTCATATACAGCATGCATGGTCTGCTCCCACAAAACGGGTGAAACCAGCTGCTTCACTAACAGCTTCCGAATGTGCTTTGAGTGCATGTACTTTTTGCCATCAACATTGGAATAGACACAGACCAGTGGTTTCTCAATCTCAATCGAGTTTAGGGCTTCAGCCAGTGGCTCTGCCGCTGGTTCCATAAGTCTGGTATGAAAAGCCCCACTGACCGGAAGCATTTTTGTACGTGTAAAATAATATTTTCGGGCATTCTCCTGCAAAAACTCCAAAGCCTATAAGAGAGAGAGAGAAGTGAGAGTCTTGCATGATAAAGGTTTACCCAGTTCACCCCACAAGAACCACCTCATTGTGGCAAAGGGATTCCTTTCCCTACCCAACAACTGAGGGCAAACGAAGGCCGTACATAACTTCCACACAGATGCACAAAGTGAAAGTTTTAAGTAAAAAAAAAATGTTAAACTCAGCTGAAGGGATAGTTATTTGGAAGCAATACCTGTAAGTGTCCTGCAATGACTCTGCTGTCTGGAAACAAATAGTTTGAAATCTCACACACGGGGTTTTTTATACCCAGCGACTCGCAGTGTTTACGGGCTTCCAAGCAGGCAAATTTGTAATTTGCCTCTCGCCGACCGATAACCGAGAGCATTCCGCTGGGGACGGCTTCCGACGCCTTTTGCATGGCTTCGGCGCGCACTTTGACCGCGTACAGCGCTAAGGAGAGAAAGAGAGATGCTCGGTAAACAGGAGCCGCGAGAAGCCAACACCGTCTTGCATCTGCGGCGCAAGAAAGGGCGGCTGTTTACTCTTGTGAAACGTCAACACTTTTAATGCTGTATTACACAGAGTGAACAGTTGAAGTAGAAAATAAGATATAACCTCCAATTAAAAAACAAAACCAAAAGCGCGAGGGACACAGTATGATGCTTTGGGAAAAGCACAGGGCAGAGGGGAGACCCTTATGGGGGTTCAGCACATTCCCCGGGCACCTTCGGCAAAGCCCATGGCTCCAGCGAAGACCAGCGCCGCGAACTCCCCCACGCTGTACCCCGCCGCCGCCACGCAGTTCGCCACCACCTGCACGGAGACAGACCCGAGGCCACACATCAGCCGGCTCCCGCGGGGGGCTGCCGGGCCCGCCCCGCGTCCCACTGCGACTCGGGTGCCGCCGAGACCGGGCCCCGGCCTCCCCGCCATGGGGCCCGACCTCACCCCCCCCTCTTCGCCCCGCCGCTCCCTCACTTCAGGCCGCTGGTGGTTGAGCTTCTCCACGGCGGCCAGGGAGGCGACGAACACGGCGGGCTGGCAGTGCCGGGTGCGGTCCAGCTCGCCCTGCGGCCCCTCCAGGCAGAGGGAGAGCAGGTCGTAGCCCAGCACCTTCTCTGCCAGGGTGTACATGTCCCGCACGCCGGGGTACCGGAGCAGCCCGCGGCCCATCCCCACCAACTGGCTGCCCTGCCCGGGGAAGAGCAGCACCGTGCCCTCCCGGGGGGAACGCCGCTCCCGCCTCGCCGCCGCCGCGTCCGGCTCCTCGCCCCCCACCGAGCTCTGCAGCAGGTCGCTCAGGGTCACCGCCCGGTCCCCACCGCCGGGGCGGGAGCTGCCCCGCCGCCGCGGTACGCCGCGGAGGCCGCCGCGCCCTCTGCAGCCACCAAGCCGCCATGTCGCCGCGGCCCAGCTGCCCATGGCCTCCGCCCGCCCGCCCGCGCCGCCGCGCCCCGCGTTGCCACGGGAACCGGGCGGCCCCCGCCGGCAACCGCCCTCCCGCCGGGCGCCGGGAGAGAGCAAACGGAGAGAGGGAGGGAGGCCGCCGCCCTAGGCCTGGCCTACGCCGCACCACACCACACCGCACTACACCACTCCTCCCGCCCTGCGCCGGGGGGAGGCCGCTCCTCGAGGCGGGCTCAGCCGGTGGGAGGGGCGCGGACGGGCCGGAGGGCGGGCACTGCCGCCTCACGGCGTAGGAGGAGCGACAGGCGGCGGCAGCGCGGGAACAGAGGTAACGCCGGCTCTGACTGAGGGACTGACTGGACGGGAAGGAAAAAAGCCGGCGGAGGGTTCGCTGCGGCCGCGTCTGGGGCTGAGGGGTCGGAGTCCGGCGGGACCCCACGGGCAGGCCGGGCCGGGGCACCGCGCGTCGCGGCTCTGCCGGCGGAGCTGGCCGGTCGCGTACAGCTGTCCAGCTGTGCAGCCCCCGGTCAGAGGCGGTGGGTGAACCCGCTGCCTGGGCCTTTCGGAGTCCTGCTTCTCTGCCTCCTCACACGGCCCACCTGCGCCCTGGGCACCCCGGCGACGGCCACTTCAGGCCGCTCTTACCCTGACGGTGTTTTCTTTCAAGGGTCTCTGTAATTTGCTTTTAATTTGACATCTTTAGAAGGGCGAAAGAAAGGGCTTTTTTCCTTCTGAGTTTACAAGTAATGCGTATAAATCAGCACAAAATGCACGTTACTGATTCGAGCATTCAGTGGCAAGATCATAAAAAAACAAGGTGAAAGTTGCCATGCTAAAGTTGCAGTTGTGCAAGGACTTTGCATAACTTAAGGTTATGAAACTGTCTAGCTGGGAGTCAGACCTCATGGGGCAGTTCAGTAAAAGAGACTGTAGTAGTGATACGCAGACCCCCTGTACATTGGTCAACCCTCTGCATCAGTAGTGTAACTTGGGAGAAGGAAAATGGGTCAGAATAGCAAGAAGTTGTTGAATTTTAGTTCAGATCAATTCAGAAGAAACCCGATGAGATTTACTCACTTTCCTCATCTCTGTTCTGTGCTGCTTCGTAAGAGGATTCCCCCCCTTTCTGTAAGCCTCCAGGTACAAGAGCTGGAAAAGCCAGTGACTTTCTTGGGTTAGCTGAACTGTGTGGGCAGCAATACGGGTTATACGTATCACCTGTATCACCACATCCCACTCTGTGCCTGCATCTACCAACAGTGCAAGCAGCAATACCGCTTGTGCTAAGGTGAGCTGAGATGCTGGATGGCAAGTTCCCACGTGGGCCAGTGGAGGTGGCACCTCAGGGAGAACTGAGGGTAACGACTGCACTCATTGTGTTGAGTGGGTGTGCTGGAGCTTCAGGCACCTTTACAGCCAGCTCCCTCGTAGGCCACCTCGTAGCAGGGGTGCCCCTTCTGCCTAGGCTGCCAGGTTAGAGTTTGTGCCACCAGGTGCCCATCAGGCCTTGGGAAAAGTCACGGGGGTGACCTTCACATCTGCTGCATTCAGAGGCAAAGACCAGGGCAGAGAACAGTTCCTGCAAACCACTGGCCCCCACTGCAGCCCAGGTAGTAACACTGTGGCTGTTACCGAGGGCACCTCAGTACAGCCATTTTGTCTCTGGTTCACTGCAAAGGGAGCAGACTGCTTGTAGAGCACTTGAGACTTACCAGTAGTGATGCCCCATGAACGTCCTCTTGCTACTGAAGCGTGCCTCGGATGTGGCGCTTGTGATATTTTAACCTGTTAAAGCAAGCTGAAGAGAGTCAGGCCTAGGCAGAACGTAAACTGAATATCCAGAATATAGGAGAACCAGCCTTTTCAAAAATAGGTGTAGTGGTTGCCCAGAGAAGCTGTGACTGCCCCATCCCTGGAAGCATTCAAGGACAGGTTGGATGGGGCTTTGAGCAACCTGGTCTAGTGGAAGGTGTTCCTGCTCCTGGAAGGGAGGTTAGAACCCAATGATCTTCAAGGTCCCTTCCAGCCAACTGTTTTATGATTCTGTAGCACTTTCTAAGTGGATGGATGAATAATAATAATTACAATGTTAGTAATACTGATGATAGTAATAGCCTACAGCGGGACACTGGGTAGCTGTCTGGAAGGGAGGTAGTCAAAAGGATGTTTTCTCTTTACATTGCTTGCAGAGGATTTTATACAAACGTACAGAGGGAAAGATTAGAAGAGACTGAGCAGTAATTGGCAAATTATCAGCTGGGAAGCTTTTGCTGTAGCATACATTTCAGTTCTCAATAGGTGAATCTTCAACAAGTTATAGATCTGTTTGTCCAACTTGTGCATGGTGTTTTAAAAGAAGTGGAGCCTGGGCAGTGAGAGCTGTCTCTAGACCTGATGAGTGCACCTTGCATTAGATCCACAAATAAATACCATATTCTTTATTTTTAGTTATATATTATAAACATAAACTGTATACTTGCTAGATATTTTAGTGTCTATTATTCAAGATTAGATAATAAAGATAAGACTGCTTTTTTTGTGGTAGCCATATTCTATCTCCCAGACTGTGATGTAACTTTGGATTTAGTGTTGTGGTTCCCCTGGAGTTAAAGCCACAACACACATAAATTGCCTATTAATATAAATAAAGTATGTACCCCTTAATTCTTCAGCCAGCTGTATCTCAGGAAGAGGCCTTTTCCCCATGGGAAAGTTACATGCTACCTCTCAGACCTGAGTAGAACCTTATCTGCCCTCAAAAAAATATACTGCAGAGGGTGAGAGGGAGAGTTATCTGTCTTGGGTACACCCTCTCCCTTCAACAGTATGCTCACAGCTTTGTCAATCTACCTCAAACCAGTAGGGACTGGAAAACCCAGAACCACGTGGCTAATTTAGTGCTGCTGAGAGAATTTCCTTTGTGTTTTTAATGTGGTAGCTATAATTTAAGCCGACTGTGACTGGGCAGCTAGTACTAAGTTGCACAAGGAAGGGATTAGAGGTTTATTGGCACAGGGGTGTAAGAAAATCATAGAATAGTTGCAGTTGGAAAGGACCTTAAGATCATCTAGTTCCAACCCCCCTGCCATGGGCAGAGACTCCCCACATTAGACAGTGTCACCCAAGGCTCTGTCCAACCTGGCCTTGGACTCTGCCAGGGATGGAGCATTTACCACTTCTTTGGGCAACCCATTCCAGTGCCTCACCACCCTCACAGTAAAGAACTTCTTCCTTATATCCAATCTAAACTTCCCCTGTTTAAGTTTTAACCCATTTCTCCTTGTTCTATCACTGCAGTCCCTAATGAATAGTCCCTCCCCAGCATCCTTACAGGCCCCCTTCAGATACTGGAAGGCTGCTATGAGGTCTCCACGCAGCCTTCTCTTCTCCAGGCTGAACAGCCCCAACTTTCTCAGCCTGTCTTCATACGGGAGGTGCTCCAGTCCGCTGATCATCCTCTCGGCCCTCCTCTGGACTTGTTCCAACAGTTCCATGTCTTTTTTATGTTGAGGACACCAGAACTGCACACAATACTCCAAGCAAGGTCTCGCAAGAGCACAGTAGAGGGGCAGGATCACCTCCTTTGACCTGCTGGTCATGCTCCTTTTGATGCAGCCCAGGATATGGTTGGCTTTCTGGGCTGCAAGCACACACTGCTGGTTCATGTTAACCATATGCAATTAAACTAGTTGTCATAGAATCATGAAATGGTTTGGGTTGAAAGAGACCTTAAAGATCATCTAGTTCTAACCCCCTGCTATGGGCAGGGACACATCACACTAGAGCAGGTCCTTCCTTCTCCTTCTTGCTGACTGAGCTCTCCTTTGGGAGCATCTGGAGAAGGGCAGGGGACCCACTGCCTTTGGGACCTGCTCAAAGCCAAGAAGTGTTTTAGATCATTTTTCATCAGGCTGAAAACAAACGGTTTTGTTTGAAAAAAGCCTCTGTTGTGATATATCTATTCCTACCTATAGTACACCCCATCCTATGAAGAGGAGGGCACTGAAAGCTTCTGTTTTTCTGCATGTTACACCACCATAGACAAATGACCTGCGAAAAAATAGAAGCCCCTTGAGCAGCAAGTTGCACCACTGTTGTCCCCCACCTTTATTTCTCCTGTTCCTTTATGTAGCTGGAAACAGCTTTGGGCAAGTTGGATGTTTTGAGTACCTAGAAAAACTGTTTTAACATGTCTGTAAAACAAACTGAGCTGCTGCAGCCCTCATTACACTGCTTAAACTGCCTGAACTCAGAGTAGGGCTAAATAGAAAATGGGCAGGATGATGAACAAAGTGTTGCAGGGCAGAGATAACTGGAAACAGAAATAAACAAGTGTGTGTGGAAGGAAAGATTTCTAACTGTGGTGGTTCTCAGAGGCAGTATCTGCTGAGCACACACTGCAAGTACCACCACAGACATGCGGGTTTCTTCAGGATGAAAATCAGGGTGCCAGAATATTGCACAACCAGATGTCGCCCTGAAGTAGAGCTGAGATATGATTGGGAAAATAGCAATTATTTCTAGGTTGTGTAGTTCACCTGCAGCCAGAGGGGCTGTGTTAGCAAACTTGTACTGTGTAAGTTATTACTAAGTAATTTTGGGGTTATCAGCTGTACTCTAAAAGGATAAAGGCTGATAATTCTTTATATACTCTGTGATTACTTTCACAGAGATCCGTGCTGCATAGCTAACCAAATGCACACTGCGGCACTGGCTGAGTGCACAGGTTCTCCAGTGCATCTTTGCCTTTTACTTACGCTCTTATTAAAGACCTACACCAGGTAAGCAGAGCAAGATGGACATGGCTTCTTCAACAATCAACTAGTGCTGCTCCCTAGTTAGCTACTGCTTTTTATGGGAAATTGACAACAGTATTTAATTTCTTGTGGATTAAAATAATCAACTGCCACTGCTGATGGACAGCTGTGGTCTACCCTACAGGTATGTCCTGATCTTGCTGCATGTTCTTTCTTTTCTCTGTCTCAGTGGTATTATGCAAGAGAGAGTATTTTGGAAGAAGAGAGCTTGAGAAGTAATGAGACATACTGTTGGAAAACACAATATATAATTAGTAGTAAGAGTGGTCAAAAGACTGGGACACCAACACTCAATTCCAGCCAGTACATTCAATCTCTTCTGTTCCTTCCCCTTTCCTCTTCATGCATGGCTGCACTTTCCCCAGTTCTTTGTGCCTTCCCCACTGCTGTTTGCCTGCCTGATTTTCTTCTCTTGTTGTTTAAGAATTATTTCAGTGTTGTTCCTCTGACATGCAGACAGACAGACTATGGGTTTTGTCCTGCAAAAATAAATAATATAGCAACATAATTTATTCACCAGTAACTGCAGCAGAGCAGTACTTTTCCAATTTTATAGCATTTAGCACTTTCAGCTTGCAGAACACTTTCAGACTCTTCCCTAGGGAGAAGCTGACAGAACCACTGACAAAGTGCAGTTGCTTAATGCCTGCAGGAAGCCACCCTGATATTGTTACCGCCAAATAAAGCATAAAACCCTTTGGGTCCTTGCTTATCACTTTAAAAATTATATTGGCATTTGACAGCTATGCTGGAGCTGCACAGGTGACCAGCACTTTGCAGCATGTGTAGAGAACCAAACCTAGTGTTCTCCCTGTAGGCAAAGCAAGACCAACAGGGTTAGGAATTAATGAGATCTTAGTAACTTTAAATTTCTAACTTAACCTCCTTATCTGAAGGCAACCAAAGAGAATTACTGTGCTGGAGCTCTTTTCCCATTGCATCTTACTGCTCCTGCACATAGCAATTCCTTCACATCCTAGTCAAAGCAGAGCCTTTCATGCTGTCAATACAGGTGACAAGTAGTGTGTGCCACAGCTGACAGCCTGCTGCCTCAGGAGGGTAGCACTACAGATCTAGGCAAGGAGAATATTTAAGCAAATAGTAAGCAGAATCCATATGGCAGCAGTAACAACAGCAATGAGCTTCTTCCCTACTTAGCTTTTTTACTTGGTTGTTCTTTTGTTCTGTTTTTGACTTTTACTGTTGTCCTGCTTTGTCTGCTGCCTTTTTTGTGTGCATTCCTATTCCTTGCCCTCCCACAACTCTCCCGTAAGGCACGCCCACAGCCCAGCAGCCTACACATGCTTTCTTGCTTACTCCTTGCAAGCTTTTTAATCCTGCATGCTTTACCAGTCCCTCCATGCTGTTTTGCCTCAAAATTCTGCTTTGCTTCTATCACCAGGATTTTTCACAATCCCGTGCAATAGAATTACAGAATGGGTTGGAAGGGACCTTGAAGATCATCCACTTCCAACCCCCTGCCATGGGCAAGGACATCTTCCACTAGACCAGGTTGCTGAAAGCAACCTGGCCTTGAACACTGCCAGGGATGAGGCAGCCACAACTTCTCTGGACAACCTGTTCCAGTGCCTCACTACCCTTATAGTGAAGAATTTCTTCCTAATGTCTAATCTAAATATACCATCTGACAGGTTAAAGCCATTCCCTCTTGTCCTGTCACTACATGCCCTTGTAAAAAGTCCCTTTCTAGGTTTCTTGTTGGTGCCTTTAGGTATTGAAAGACTGTTGTAAGATCTCCCTGGAGCCTTCTCTCTTCCAGGCTGAACAAGCCCATCTAAAGCCCATCTGGCTTGTGGTCCCAGCCCCTGAAATCTCTTCATTAAATCTGCATAACTGTATGGGCAGGCCCCTGAGTGCAATACTGCACCATAGTGCAATTGCTGGCCAAGCTCATACCTGTTCTCCAAACAGAAATCCACTGCAGCAGCAGAACTGTGACAGTGCAACGTCATCTGTGAGCCATTTCCTTTCGGTTTAAGGACACCTGTTACAAGGGGGATTTCCTCTTCCTAGTCCCTGCCTCCTCATCCCAACAGTCAGAACTACAGCAATAAAACCTTTTAAATGTAGGCCAAGAGAACAGCCAGGTCAATACAGCAGTTTTCTTTGATGAGCCTGTGAAATGCTGGTTGTTCTAAAACTTTTGTTTTCTCTCTTGGGACTTCCACAGTTGCCCTCTCCCCACTGCTGCAATCTCCCCCCCTCCCACAGGACACACGAACAGGAATTGCGTGTATTTGCCTACTGTACACTTGAAAAAATAATGCATTGCATTTTGGTTCTGCCCTTTTTTATCATGCCTCTAATCTGTTTATATTTTAGCAAGCTAAACACTGCTTTTCTGTAGCATTTGGCTTTTAGCCAGAAAATCTGCAATGAAGCTTTTTCCAGTTTCCTTGCTTACTTTTTTACTGCTGCCTGTACTCTAAACCAGCGTGGCCTACCAGAGCAAGGCATGATTTGGTTTTATTTCTGGGGGCAAGTTGAATCCAGCACACTTTATGGGCTTGGCAGCTAAGATTGCTGCAACTGATTGGATGATTCCACCAGACATCTCCTTCCTTGTTTAACAAAACATCATTTATGTACTTATCTTTTCCGTGTCCTCCCTGGTGTTTCAGAGTCAGGTTCTCAAGTGTCTGCTACTAATTCACATCACTTTTACCAGCCATTGAGCATCCTCAGCACCTTTTTGAGGGTAAAAATGAAACACAGCAGATACAATTATTTTGGTTGAGCACAGGACAACACACACTATTTCCTTACTCTTGACAGTACGATCTCGTTGAGTGAATGGGCTTTTTGGTGAATACAGGAATTCTTAGTGTGTATTTTTTTTTTCCCCAAGTGTAGTTCATATGATATCAAACCGGGTAAAGATATTTATGCAGGTAAAATTCAGTAATCATACTGCACGAAGCTGAGGGGGAAGGCCTCACTTCCCCCCACCAAGTAATAGGTTCCTTTATGGGGGTATCGTCCAGTGGACCTGGGACAAGATCCATTCATTTCAGTTGCAGTCATTCCCCGTGACAAGCTCAGGCTGCGGCTCACATACATGTGCACGTTTTTAAATCTGCTAGAAATGGACATGTTTTGTAGTTGCATTTTAAAACGGCACTGCCAATCCACATGTTCGTGTTTGTTCCAGATTCACCGTCTGGATGGAAGTGGTGTCAGCCTGGGCCCCGGCAGTGGGTTTCACACTCCTGCCCCCTGCAGGAGGATTCTTAGGAAGCACTCTAACAAAAAAGAAATTGCCAGTGTGGTACGGATCTCTACAGAAGCCATCCTGGTGCCCACCTAACTGGGTGTTTGCTCCTGTTTGGGGAGCTGTCTATACATCGATGGGGTATGTTTTTTCACATTGTATTCAGGCATTTACCTGATCTCAAAGTTGCTTACTGTATAATGCTGTACCAGAGAATTATGATTGTGTTCCTGTGGCTGTATATTCATAAGAAACTCTGTCAAGCTGCCTGTTTAACAGGTAAGGACATGCTTTGGGAGTTGTGTGTGGGTTTGATAGGACATCTTGTATGCACAAGTATCCACATCAAAAGCAGGAATTTGAAAAGCTGCCATTAACTTGCTTTCCTCATTCATCCTGAGGGGAATATCTGCCAAGCTGTCAGTGATGGAGTAAGGCAGCACTGGGAGTTCTTCTACGCATGTCCTTCAGGAATTTCAGTAAAATGATACTAAAAAAAAAGGGGGGGGGGGGGGAGGAGGGAGAGAATTAGGATAGAACTATTCTAACAGAGCTCAATTAAAAGGAACCAAAATCAAAACATATGTGTTAAATTCTAAATGCTTGAAACATCTACTGACTCCTTATTTAACAGCAGAGCAATTTCTGTCAAATGAACAAGGAATGACATGGCTAAATACCATCCCCAAAGGGACCTTAAAAGTTTAATAATATTGTATTTTAGCAGCTGTTACTTTTAATAAGATGTGGTAAAAATATTTATAGAAGTAGGATGTCTCAGGAGACTGGGCAGTTTTGATACTCCTCACAGACTGCTTCAGAAGCTGTCCACCCAACAGTGCATGCTTTTATGTTAACTCTGGTGAGCTGTGCCACAGAGGAGAGGGTGCACTCTGCTCCTAGAGCCTCAGCAGAGATCAGTGCAGCCCCCAGGCACAAAGGGATGCTTTGTCTTTCTGCAGCTGTTCATTAAGAACTAGCTACACGGCAAGATTAATCATGCTTTTTCCTAGCTATCAAATACACTTTGTTGCTAATGCAATAGTAATAGTTTTTAGGTTGCAATATGCCTTTTATGGCTTAATCCCTCCCATCTCCCATTAATTTCGTCCATCACAACAGTACATTTCAAGTGGTGTGTATATAGCACTGGCTTAACTATATGAAGTTTCAGATCTTTTCCAAGTGAACATTGCATAACTCATCCTGCAGGTTATCTTAAATACCACACTACTTGTTGCAAAATACAGAAATGATGCAGTGTCTGAAACTGTATCTGAATGCTAAATTGGCTCTCACACATTTGCTCATTTGGTTTCATTTGCTTTCCAGAAAAGCTTTGTCATTTTTATAGCCTCATGTACTGTCCCTCCATTCCCATCAGTATTCTCTTTGCTTTCTCTCTTTGCAGTGTGTACTTTTAAAAAGCGCTGTTCTACTCTTGCATATTCCAAGAGTTATTACCATTTGAATCAGATCATTATTGTCCTGAGAGTTAAAGAATGCCTTGATCAAAGGGACAAGAGCTGAGTGGCTTTCCTGTGAAGCCATTCCTTCAAGTTGTGACAGTTTATCAGTACTTTGATACTATCAGAATCAGTATATTCTGAGGTGGATGGTCCTGATTATGTACATCAGCAAAAAGATCATACTTACTACCACACCTTTTCTTCTGTAATCCATCATGTGCATGCATTCCTTGACTGATCAAGACATATGGTTCCTTTAGAATCTCTTGAATACATTAAAAGCAAGAAGTAACTAAAAGCAGGATTTAGTAAGCTTACATGCCTTCCTCGGCATTTAACTTTAGATTTCTACATTGTGATATTGGTCTGAATTTAAAGTTAGGTTATGAACAACTCTAAGCCCACACTGTGGCTCTGTAAATCACTTAGGAACAGATTGGGGTCTTGATGCCTTTTACCTTACCCTGCCCCCCCCTTCCTGTTTTTAACACTCTGCAATCAAACTGCTGGGATTTCAGAGCAGTTTGAAAATAGAGTTCAGCCCCTATGAAAGTAATGGCCAGGAAGCAAGCTTGTGCCACTAACTGGCGTAAACAGGAAAAAATAAATCCTTCTTGTATGACCTACAAATGAAGACAAACTCCTTCCAATTACTCTTATGGATGTCTGTCTGCTCCTAAAAACCGTAATGCTTAAAGTTGGTCTCCATCTTTGCTCCGCTGCCAGCAGAGATACACGGGAGCCCCCTGCTGTCCAGCCTTGTGTACAGCCCAGTTCACATCCAGCCGGGATAGAACCTGTCTACACTTACTGAGACGGGTGCAATTCCAGATGTTGGCATTTTATCCAGGGCATTCTACTGTGGTCACCTGGAATGGCTATACAGTCATCTGGACTGAAATCCACCTGATGTCTAAAGGGAAAAATCAAAACAAGAGCGAAAGAGTTGTAGGTGATGAATGCTCCTTCTAATCAGGCTCCTTCAGTGCAAAAAACAAACCTTACATCAGTACATCTCCGAGATCCTGAGAATTCCTGTCTTTAGCAACTTACATTCTGGGATCCTCCAGCAAACCAATCTTCTGTAGCATTAAGAAGATCTGTTCAGAATTTTTTTGGAAGATCTTTCAGTAGCTGGGATACTGCAGACAGGAAGGGTGCTGGGCACTCCTCCTGGTTGATTCTTTCCACAGAACTCCTAAAAATCTTTGTTCTCCCCATCTTCATCCCCCTTCCTCCTGAAAAGTGGCTATAGGGTTCCTCCTGCTCTAACGCCATACATCCCCACCCTCACCGGTGCTTTGGGATGCCACTCAGTTCCTACTTCTCTTGTGTTCATTTCATCCACTTAAACAATGGGTTGTGTTAGGTTTGAGGTTTTTTGAATTTATTTTTAAAGCACCATTTCCTAGTACCAAAATTAATGGTTTCTTCACTATTTAGAGACTTACCTTTTAGCCTTGCCTCTTGACTTGCTTCCATTTCAGCATGGCGTTCTCTTTTAAGACTGAAACACAGGATGTCATCTGCTGCTCTGCACCTAGAAATGAGTACTCTGGCAGGATAGGGAATTAATCTCTCTCTGTTGCTGTCCACAGCAGGTGATCAACCCTGTGCTGTCAGTTACTCTGCCAAGTAGTGCCTGGATGTTTACTTTTTCAAATCAACCTAGACCCTAGCACTAAAGTTGCTTCATTTGATCAAGAACGTGCAGTTGCTTTCTAACCGGTGTGCTGAGTTATAGCCTCCATTTGCTTTCTCCAGATATGGCTCCTACCTGGTGTGGAAGGAAGTGGGGGGCTTCAACAAGAAGTCGGTGATTCCTCTGGGTCTGTATGCAGGGCAGCTGGCATTAAACTGGTCATGGACTCCAGTATTTTTTAGAGCTCACAAAATGGGATGGGTAAGTGGAAAAGTAAGTTTCTTAATCATAGACTTCTGCAGTCATTGGCGAGGTGATGAGTCGAAAGTTTGTTATAATCATTGCTCCCTGAAAATGAGCCTTCATTCACACCACATCTCTTCAGGCTGCATCTGTGACATGAAAAGACTGGACACGTTTACTTAGCTAGTGACTTGCTCAAAGTTACACTGGGTTTGTAGTGAATGTAACAAAAAAAGAAGGTATGGATGAGTGGGATTTTATTCTCCCTCTCTTGCTCCCAGCAGCAACACCCTTTGTTGTGACTGTTGCATTGTTTTATGAGTCAAATTGACTTATAATTCAGCAGAAATCTCTCTTTTTTGTTGCTGGCTGGTTTTCTGAGAAGGAATTAACAAGTGCCAGAGTGAAAGAGGTACACAAGTCAAGAAAACTCATCAAGTAAACCCAACGCTGACCACCACCTTCCTGTGTTTCAGGGGTTGGTGATTCTCCTGCTCACGACTGGTACGGCGACAGCTGCAACTGTTTCCTGGTATAAAGTCACCAAAACAGCAGCTTATTTGATGATTCCTTATTTAGCTTGGCTAACCCTGGCTTCTGCACTCAACTATCGTGTCTGGAAGGACAATCGTGACAAGAAGCAATCCAAATAAACAGTTACCAGCCAAAAAGATATTCTTTTCCTCCAAAAGAATTTTCTAAATAGCCTTATTTTATTTTTAGCTGAATTACTTCTACTGTTACAAGCTGACAAAGCAGCACTCGTTTAAAGCAAATACACCTTTACTAGGCAAGTCACAAAGGGCTGTATTCCTGACTGGGTTTTCAATCAGCACTGTTAGTTTGCTATAAAAGCACTAGTTTTCTATATTACAGCATTATAGTTTATATGACAACAGCATTCCCTTACAAGAAATAAGCATGAACTCCAACTTTGTGAGGTCCAGAGGAAGAAATCCAGCCATATATTAACACAGCTTCCAGAAAGCTGCTCCTAACAGTGACAGACACTACTGTGGTCTGAATCAACACTGACGGGCACGATTGTGGCCTGAATCTTTCATGTTTACCACTAGCGATTCAGAGAAAACTCCAGGAACAAACTTGCCAACAAAGTTTTCAAGCTGACAAGCAGGTATTCTTTACTGTGGCGCCGGAAGACACGGGGGATAGCTCCCCCTAACGTGTCTCCCAGCTGCCACACACGCCCTCCTTTTATAGCCACTGGGCATACATACACATTCATGAGGCTACGTATGGATTACATAATTTTCCAGAAAGTTCCCCGCATGCGTACAGAATTGTGGTGGTGGTCTCTGAGGGTCGTTTACTTCTTCCAACAATCTTCATTACTTCTGGCTGCCTTTGAAGCACGCGCAGTAGGTGCTCATACCAGTTTAATTGTTTTGTTAGCACCAGAGACGTAATAATCCTCCTATCCTCCTCCTTATCAGTTAGCTTAACTGTAGCCCATCCTGGACACCTGCGGTTCCCAGATACTCCTTATCCCTGTGTCCTGTTCTTCTAGACTGTTTTTCTTAAAACTATGTCACAACCATAACAATTTATCTTGTGAAAATTCTCAGTATGTTCTCTAGCTGTACTCTACTTTTTCTTCTGTGTATCATCATGCACCTCAGTAATTTTCCATTGCTACTGTTACAAAGCCATCAAACTTAAAATTACCTAAAACTAATTCTAAAGGTTTCTATATTCCATTTTGTGCCCCCTTGTCTCACTAGACACGGTGCTTTAATGCTGTGATGTGTCCCACTACAGCTGCGAGATTTCTCTTCTGGTCATTGTACTCTGGAAATGTTTAAGATGAAATCTTTTTCACAATTTGTGCCTTCTCACTTTGAAGCACTGTACAATTTATTGGCGGCTGAATGCATTAAAGTACATGTAAGTTTACTGACCTTACTCCTGTTTTTATTGTTTTTAAATGGTTTTGAGCAGAAAAACACCTTAAAGCAACTAGCCTTAAAGACAGTCCCTTCATCACTCCTCACCCCTGCTACGGGCAAGACAAAACAGGAAATTCAGAGCGCCAGGTCAGAAACTGAGAGAACCCAACTATTCAGCAGACCCCTGCACACACCTCCGAGGCATCACCAGCAGCTCTGGCCCAGAAGCACTAACATACTCCACCTAGATCCTCAGATGCCAGTTCACTATTAGCCCCTAACAGGGGAGCTAGCAGCTGGGCCACCGGTGTGTCTGCTGTCCAGCAGGGCAGTACTGGCACCATGGCTATTCACGTCTCCTGCCAGCACCTTCTTGCTTCAGCTGCTTAGAAACAGAAACCAGGGGTTCTCCTCTTTGAGGTTATGGCAGCGGACTGCAAGATCTGGGATGCTTAGTTCAACCAGTTGCTTCCTATAAGATAAAAAGATCTCTTCCATCCAAGAGCACAACAGACTATTTTTGCCCACAGCTTCTGGTCCCATTACACAAATCTCACTACTTTCTAGATGCCATTCTTCTCATTTGCTAAGTGTGACATCACTTTCCCTTTGTGATGAGCGAAACCTCCCCCCTTAGATCCCCAGGTACTTCATGTTTTCAGGTACTTTGTAGGCAGAAAGTGCCTTTTGCTCTCCCACAAGAGCAAACACATTCCATGAGCAGCACTGCATGCCTCCTATGTCCATTCTCCAGCACCCACTACTATCTATCAGAAGTAGTCATGCCATCTGTGTTAAGCACTTCATGTTTTCTTTAGTCACATTTAAGTAAGGAGTCCAAAAAAGTTCTGACTCATGAGCTGGAGACTGATAAGAGCTGTCAGCACCATTCCTGGCTGAGGAATCCCCTCTCCCTTTGCCCACCTGCGCAGGCTGAATGTTCCTAAGACAAAGATGGTTTATTTCTCCAGCCTGTGTTCCAGTCAGTGGAAAAAAGTAGTTTCTGCAGCCCAGCCTGAAATAGCCTAAAATACCCCTCTCCCTTCTTGATCATGAGGGATAATGTTGTGTATTTGCAAGGCTTGAATCAACGTTCAGAACATTTGTACAATTCCGTAACTGTACTTTGCTCTCAAACAGATCCCGATTGCTGCAAACTAACTTAAAAAATACTATGCATGTAACACACACTTCATTTGAGGAGAGAGATTAGGAATGATTCATTTCAAACTGACACCCAAATACCCAAATATCTTAAGCCCTAAACCTTGAAGTCCAAAGACTGCTGGGGCTCCTAGCAGAGTTTTCCAGATCCCTTTCATTCCTTCAGGCCTCTTCTGCATTCCTGTGCTGCTCTAGACATTACATCCTTCTCATTTCCTGCCTCACCCCTTCCCAAAACCCTAATTTCCTTAAGGGGCAGGCTAAGGATGACAGCCAGCAGCACAAGGCTGTCACAACGGTATGCTGTGCCCTTTTATTTTTAACAAGAAAAATGGAAAGAGTCATCCAATCTTTAATTTCCTTACCCTAGGAGTTCATTGCACTGAAAAGCTATTTTCCCATCATAATATTTTAAATCTTTGTATAAGAGGGATAAATAATAAAAGACATACAAACTTCAACACGATCCAGTAAATTATAGTTTTACTCTCAACACAGGGAACTTGTGCAACATCTCCCAGCAAGCAAGCAATCAGGCTACTGAAAACCAAGGTAAATTGCTCCAGTTATTGTGCTATTTTGAGGTCCCCCATATTCAACAAACAAGACATTTGGTCAACACAAAGTCATGATTTAAAGAACTAAGCAAGACAAAGAAAATGCAGACAAATGATTATCAATACAGTGTATGGTATATGCATATTCTTCTGATACAAATTTTTTTCTTGGGTTACCAGTATAGGAAAATAGTTGCCTCAGCAGCTCACAGAACTGAAATATAAATCTTGCTGTGAAGCTTATCTGGGAAAGAAATTAATAGTGAAGCCTCCTGTGGCTAGACAATGCATGTCACATGGCAGTTGTCTGTTTCATCCAGAAATAGGGTGCTGAAGACATCATTAAAAAAAGTAGGGTGGTATTTGCAGGCTCTATCACAGTCAGGATTAAAGTTCACCTCCAGGATCTGAGGCTGCATAATTCTTTTCCCTGTGAAGGGGAACACACACATTGCCTCTTATTACAAGTTCTACAGAATCACTGCTGTCTTTAAGCCAGAGATTATACAAATCGACTGCGAAAAGCCGTATTTATGACCCAAGATGGCAAGCTGTAAGGGTGGGTTTAGTTCAGTGGGTTTGGTTTGGGTTTTTCTGGAGGGATGGAGGTCTGTTCTACCATTATCCAGAGGAAAAATCATCCAACAGATTCTGGATTAGCACAGTGAATGCAATGCCTCACTTAGAATGAGAATTTGAAGCAATTTAATAGGATCTCCCTGATGCAGCTATCTTGCTTGACAGTCTAAAACATCTTCCAGAAAACTGCTTCTCCTTTCATGTTTCAGTACAAAGCTTCCTTTCTTAAAGCTCTTAGATACCTGCCTTTCTAGTTCTAGCAGTCTTATTCCTTTACACTCCAGCCACTGCCACTTCAACTCATTCCTAACTCATTTGGTTCAAGACCACCTTAAAAAACTGAACGTGCACAAGTCCATGGGTCCTGATGAAATCCATCCGTGGGTCCTGAAGGAGCTGGTGAATGAAGTTGCGAAGCCACTGGCCATCATATTTGAGAAATCATGGCAGTCAGGTGAAGCTCCCGATGACTGGAAAAAGGGAAATAAACCCCCATTTTCAAGAAGGGGAAAATGGATGACCCGGGGAATTACAGACCAGTCAGTCTCACCTCTGTGCCTGGCAAAATCTTGGAGCACATTCTCCTGGAAGGCATGCTAAGGCACATGAAAATCAACAAGGTGCTTGGTGACAGCCAGCATGGCTTCACTTAGGGGAAATCCTGCCTGACCAGTTTGGTGGCATTCTATGATTGGGCTACAGAACTGATGGACAGGGGTAGAGCAGTTGATGTCATCTACCTGGACTTGTGCAAAGCATTCGACACTGTCCCACACAACATCCTTGTCTCTAAATTGGAGAGACATCAATTTGATGGATGGACCACTGGGTGGATAAAGAACTGGCTGGATGGCCACACACAAAGAGTTGTGGTCAATGGCTCAATGTCCAGCTGGAGACCAGTAATGAGTGGTGTCCCTCAGGGATCGGTGTTGGGACCGGTCTTGTTTAACATCTTTGTCGCTGACATGGACAGTGGGATTGAGTGCACCCTCAGCAAGTTTGCCGATGACACCAAGCTGTGTGGTTTGGTTGATACCCTGGAGGGAAGGAATGCCATCCAGAGGGACCTTGACATGCTTGTGAGGTGGGCTGATGCCAACCTCATGAAGTTTAACCATGACAAGTGCAAGGTCCTACACCTGGGTCGGAGCAATCCCAGGCACAGCTACAGGTTGGGCAGAGAAGAGATTCAGAGCAGCCCTGTGGAGAAGGACTTGGGGGTATTGGTCGATGGGAAAATGAACATGAGCCGGCTTCAGTGTGCGCTTGCAGCCCAGAAAGCCAACCATATCCTGGGCTGCATCAAAAGGAGCGTGACCAGCAGGTCATAGGAGGTGATCCTGCCCCTCTACTCTGCTCTTGTGAGACCTCACCTGGAGTATTGTGTGCAGTTCTGGTGTCCTCAACATAAAAAGGAAATGGAACTGTTGGAACAAGTCCAGAGGAGGGCCACGAGGATGATCAGGGGACTGGAGCACCTCCCATATGAAGACAGGCTGAGAAAGCTGGGGCTGTTCAGCCTGGAGAAGAGAAGGCTGCATGGAGACCTCATAGCAGCCTTCCAGTATCTGAAGAGGGCCTATAGGGATGCTGGGGAGGGACTCTTCATTAAGGACTATAGTGACAGGACAAGGCATAATGGGTTAAAACTTGAACAGGGAAAGTTTAGATTGGATATAAGGAGGAAATTCTTTCCTGTTAGGGTGATGAGGTACTGGAATGGGTTGCCCAGGGAGGTTGTGAATGCTCCATCCCTGGCAGTGTTCAAGGCCAGGTTGGACGAAGCCTTGGGTCAAACGGTTTAATGTGAGCTGTCCCTGCCCATGACAGGGGGGGTTGGAACTAGATGATCTTAAAGTC